TGTTAAATTGTAAAAAAAATTAATTTATGTATGTTCTTCATTTTATAATTCAAACTAACTGTACCATACAATATTTTTTTCATTAATAATTTATTTAGTAAGTGAATTTGAAGGGAGAATATTTTGTTTTTGGGTTATAAACTCAAATTTCTTATTTGTTGTCACCAACATCAATATATTTAAATTTTAATCTAAACACATATATTTTATTTAACTTATGATTTAAAGATCAAAAATCATAAATTTCAAATACACATTAAACTATGCTAAATTTAGCAGGAGCTACAGCTTAGTCCTCTTCTCCTCAGTTTCCTCATTAAGCAACCGCGAAACTATATAAAAGAAAAAAAAATAGAAAATCCAAAGGAAAGAGAAGAAAACCTGATTGGAACAACGAATCGCCTCAGCCTCATATCGTTTGGATAGATTGGCAGTAAAACGGAACCTCCGTTTTTTACTCTTGACGATCCAGCAGAGCTTGATTTCTCCATCTCTGTAAAGCCTCTTCCGATGAGTTCTTTGGCTTTACGTCGCCGAAGTTCTTGCTCAGGTAGCTCTCCATTTTTGCTCCGCCTTATTCCGAAAACGGCAATATTTTTACGAACACACCGCTAAAAGATTGGGACGAAACCTGTAAAACGTGGAATGATATTCTTCCAACTGGAAAAAAATTACCTTGGTAGTCGGTACTTTACTCGATTCCTAATCTGCCGGTCCTACGACGACGAATAAAGGCCGGATTTGACAAAAAGCGATGGAAGAAGAACCAGATGCTTGCCTTGAAAGATATATTTGTGTCCGATAGCAATAGCGTAAGTACCTTCCGTTTCAAATTGCAAAGAATAAAATCGAAATGTTGATAGTTAAAAAAAAAAAAAAAAAGAAAAAGAAAAAGGTTATCTGTTGACAAACGGAAACTCTGTGAGCCTGGCTTACGTGGCGCAGCCATGGCATAAGAAAAAAAGTTGACTGTGCCAGACAGACGGCCGTTTGGTTTTGTCGTCTGGTTTTGTTAACAGGGTCAACATTTTTACTATTTTTTAAAGGTTTTTCTAATGACTTAAAAATTTTAATTGAATAGTATTTTTTTTACTATACCAATCTCTAAATATTTAATAATTATATTAGATTTTAATTAATTTAAAATAAAATAATATTAGATCTCATAATAAAAATTCTTTCAGTATCTATTTCTTCATTCTTATTATTCAAATTCAATACCTCACTTAAAAAATCAAATTTTTTTTATTTGAATCATATATATTGTATATAATAACTCATTTAATGATATATTATTATTATAAATTTA